GGGGCCGGGGCCGCGGGGGGCCGCGGTTTACTGCCCCAGCCCAGCTGACGTCTCTCCTCCCGCCCGCCGTGGCTCCGCCGGCCCCGCGCAAGGTGGACGCAGCCTACAGCGACAATGGCGTGGACTCGGGTAGGTGCCCGGGCAGCACCCGGCCCTGGGCCGCCCCCGCGCAGTCACAGCAGCTGCTTGTGGTGAGCGTGACGGTGACAGCGGCTGCCTGGTGACCCGTCCACCCCATCCCTCTGCGCCTGCTCACACGCCCGGGGTTTGTCACTTACTCTGCGTAAACCTCTTCTTCCAGCGCTCTTTATGGAAAACGCCCGGAAAGGAAGCATAGTGTCACGAGCCAACAGTATCGGCTCCACCAGTGCCTCTTCCGTCCCCAATACAGGTGGGCCTCTGGGGTTTCTCCTCTGCGGCCGTGGGTCTTTCTGCTCACCGGGCTGCCCAGCACGTAGCGGGGCTTCCAGCTCTCACCCCTGTGCCGAGGGTGCAAGCGCGGCTGCCTCTCTTGCCGGCTGGGCGGGATTCCCACCCCTGGGAGGGAGGGAAGATGGTGGGGAACAGCATCGGGGCGTTGTGGTTTCCAGCAGTGTTTGGAGTAGGGAAGCGGTCAGGTTCTGACGCCTTCCCAAGGGAGCTGCAGGCGTCTTCCTCCTGCCCGCCTCCAACAAGGAAAGGGAAGGGGTTGGCAGGGCCCCTTGGAGCGTTTGTCCTTGGCCCGGCCTGTTGGAGCTGACTGCCGCCCTGGGGGCACGGGGCTGTCCTGGGCCTGGCCGCAGCCCGTAGGGCGGCAGGAGAAGGGAGTCGAGCTGGTACGCCGAGCTGTCGCCCCCTCCATGCGCCTCTGCCCCCCGTGCTTTGGGAGCTCGCCACTCAGGCTTCTTCACGCTCACGTGGGTTCTCTCCACGCAGATGATGAGGACAGCGATTATCACCAGGAGCCTTACAAGGAGTCGTACAAGGACCGGCGCAGGCGGGCGCACACCCAGGCGGAGCAGAAGAGACGAGATGCCATCAAGGTAACCCGAGGGGCTGCGTGCGCTGTCAGAGCGCAGCGACCCGCTGGTTCCCGGGGCCCTGCGGCACCCAGCACCCTGCTGTTTTCAGCACCCTCCCCTTTTTTTTGCTGCTGCATCTGCCCTCCCCAGAC